CTCTCTCTCTCTCTCTCTCTCTCTTTCTTTCTTTCTTCAAGGCTCAAGCGTTTTTTGAAGACGCCTCTCAGTATGATGAGAACCTCACCTTCCAGGATATGAATCTGTCCAGACCTTTACTGAAGGTGAGACTGACGCCACATTCATTAGAAACATACTGTAAACACACACAGCAGTGACAGAACTAAAACTTGACGTTTCTCAGCCTTTTATGCTCTTTGTATCATGTTTATTCATTTGCTCTTAAATAACTTTTTTTTTTCTGAAAGTAACCATCACTTCAGTACATTATTATTTCAAAAGTTTGGGGGTGGATATTTATTTATTTTTTAATAAATTAATAATTTTATTCAACAAGGACGCATTAAATTGATCAAAAGTAACAGTAAAGATATTAATAATGTGACAAAAGATTCTATTGCAAATAAATGCTGTTCTTTTGAACTTTCTATTCATCTGTGAATCGTGAAAAATAAAATGTATCACCGTTTCCACAAAGTTATTCTGCAGCACAACTGTTTTCAACATCGATAATAATCAGAAATGTTTCTTGAGCAGCAGATCAGCATATTAGAATGATTTCTGAAGATCATGTGACACTGAAGACTGGAGTAATGATGCTGAAAATACAGCTTTGATCACAGAAATAAATTAAATTTTAACATCTATTCACATAGAAAACAGCTATTTTAAATTGTAATAATATTTCACAATAATACTGTTTTTTTTTTGTTTTTACTGTATTTTTGATAAATAAATGCAGCCTGGGTGATGGTGAGCAAACATTACAAATTACGGTTCTCAAACTTTTAAATGCTAGTGTATGTTGTAATTATATATATATATATATATATATGCACTAATGTACTAATAAATAGTAATGTTAGTGATGATTTTTGAGTGCTTCTCAATCATTACTGACGTTTTTGACCTAGTTATGTTGGTTTAGGATTCAACATAAAGACGAAAGTAACTTACTTAAGCACTTTAGTGAAGTGTTAATGTAATAAATGACCACTTTTATATTACATTTTTAATATTTTAATGCTGCATAACTGTGTGCATTAAACATTGATGTGACATGGGCCTTCAGTAGAGGATGATCAGTGTTTCTGAAGCCATCATATGTTAATGAATGACATCTCACACTGGATTCTGTTTGTTCAGGCCATCTATGTTAGTGATGATTTTTGAGTGCTTCTCAATCATTACTGACGTTTTTGACCTAGTTATGTTGGTTTAGGATTCAACATAAAGACGAAAGTAACTTGTACAAGCACTTTAGTGAAGTGTTAATGTAATAAATGACCACTTTTATATTACATTTTTTATATTTTAATGCTGCATAACTGTGTGCATTAAACATTGATGTGACATGGGCCTTCAGTAGAGGATGATCAGTGTTTCTGAAGCCATCATATGTTAATGAATGACATCTCACACTGGATTCTGTTTGTTCAGGCCATCTCCACTATAGGCTTTAAGCAGCCCACTCCTATTCAGAAAGCCTGCGTCCCTGTGGGGCTGCTGGGAAAAGACATCTGTGCATGTGCTGCCACCGGCACTGGTGAGAATGAATATGAATATTAGTTTGTAGCTGAATGTCTGCGTGACACATTTAGATGACTCTGTGTGTCTCAGGTAAGACGGCGGCCTTCATGTTGCCGGTGCTGGAGCGTCTGATCTACAAGCCCAGAGAGACGCAGGTGACCCGTGTGCTGGTTCTGGTGCCCACCAGAGAGCTGGGCATCCAGGTGCACTCCGTCTCCCGCCAGCTGGCACAGTTCACCAGCATCAGCACCTGCCTGGCCGTGGGTACGAGCGCTGATAATACTGTATGATTTATTTACTGTACTCAGTGCCGATCCTAGACTTCTGGGAGCCCCTACGCAAAACTGTCGGTGGAGAGGGGTATGAGTGGGTATGAACGAATGAATGAAACGCATTTGTCCGTGTTTCACTCCGTCTCGAATCGCGCTCGCGGAAATCGCTTGAGAAATAGTGTCTCTTCCGCGGCTCGGTACGCTTTCAACTCGTTTTTTTAGTCTCGAGCAAGACTGTACGACATTCACATTACATGATTTGACTGATTTTTATGTAGAAAGGGCGACAGCGCACCGCGTTCAAAGAAATGATTATTCATGTTTTCATAACCGCTGGCCAAATTCAAAAACAAAACTAAAATTAAATCATCTTTGAGAGCATGGGGGCCCTACGCAGCTTGCGTATTTTTGCGTATAGGGAGGATCGGCTCTGACTGTAGTATTATTCATATTTTAAATTAACCTTTATTTTTATATTGAAATATAAAACTATAATATAACAATTTAATATGAAATTGTGCTTTTGTGATTTTTCTAATTGTCTTAATTTTTTTTTTTTTTTTTTTTTAGTAATTTTACTACTTCATCCTAAACTTTTATTTTTTTAATTTCTGCTTTTTTTGTAATTTTACTACTTCATCCTAAACTTTTATTTATTTAATTTCTGCTTTTGTCATTTTTATTACATTTTACATTTTTATTTATATTGTTTATATTATGTTTATATATATATATCTATTTAGCTTAATTTTTTTATTTCTATTTCTTGAAATTTCTAATTTAGTTTTTCATGTAATAATTATTTTAGCTTTATTTATTTTTAAACTATTTTAAATGTTTTAGAGTATTAGTAATAGTTATGTGCTTTTATCATTTATATATATTTTTAAATATATATATTTTTTATTTTTTATTTTTTTTATAATTTTAGTACTTCAACCTAAACTTAGAAATTGTAGTACTTTTATTAATTTTAATTTTAATTACTTTAATTAACCTAAAATTAGAAATGTGAAGATGCACAGATCTATTATTTTCTTTTTCTTTTCTTCTTTTTTTTTTAAGTTGTAGTCCTTTTATGTGCTATTTTTTTTTTTGTAAATTTTTTT